GACTCGTCTTCCATCCGAGTGGGACACTGTTGTCGACCTGCATGTTGGCCCGGATGCGAGCCAGCCAGTCATCAGGCTCAATAGAACGGTTGCATACAACGTCCACATTGACCGGGGCAGCGCCGTTCACTCCTGGAGTGGGTATCTTCGTGATAAATTCATTGACACCCTGGCAGTCGTCACCCAGCTGCTCAATAAAGCAGACAGTAGACACACCTTGTACATTCCCTCCCCTGTTATCCTGCCGATCGAGCTTGTTGTGAGATGGTCCTGCCTCCGCGGGTTGCTCAAATGCGCCATGATTGAGCATGTGGTGCATCTGTACCATAGCATAGTCCTGCTGCGATGGCGGTGGCATGTCTGGTCGCATACCAAAGAGGAACTCGACCTTATGTTGGCGGTGCTGCTGCTGTTGGGTTTGAGGGCGACTATTATGATGGTGTAGGACTTGTCAAGTGTTGGGGTATTGGGGTGGCTTCTGGAGAATCCGCTGCTAGATGTATCGCTGGGTCTCCATGGCCCGTTGTTGCTGTAGATGCAGTGGTTGTTCGCTGTCAACGTTCATGGTTGAGAAAGAAAGGAATATGTCCTCCACAGCTGCACATCGCTCATGACCGTGGTGTGGATGACGCATTTCATGACGCACCATCAGTTTCCTGACACAAAACTCCACCTGTCGCCAGCCCAGCGTGGCCCTGAATTTTGCAGTTAGCTGTCAACTCCAGCCTTATTCTAGCTTCTTATTACATGTTACGGCTAATAACCCCAGTGTTTCTGATACACCCACTTAAGTGCATAGCTACCTGTTTGTAAATTCATACCTGTACCAGGACCTACCTGTAGGTATGGACTAAATCCAAGACTCAAAAATTCATTCCCCAAATAAAATTGAACAATAAGTAAATAAAGACATATGTATCTTCACATATGGGCTCCAAATCATGTCAATATATCATCACAGCACTACCCAATTTCTAAACTCATATTTTGGATATTTAAGCACTTAGAGGGGGTTCTGCTCTACTGTTTCCAGCATTTATATGCATCAGAGGGTAGACATCTGGCTTTGCATCTATGGTGACTGTGGTGGATATGCCATCCAATGGTAGGCTGGAGTGAAACTGGATCAGGGATGTTGCTGTTACCCCTGTATCATTGCTTGTATGACTTAAGGAGCGGATAATGATCAGGTTGAAAGCAATACCAGCACTTTGGAACGCCTGCCAAAATATGAGCAGTAAAAAATCATAACTTATGCACATACAAAGGAGCTGGCTGGGTAGAACATACTGCTCCCCTTTATGTAGGCAGCATAGGACAGGATTGAGGAAACTGTGATGAGGAGACCGGATTCAACCATGTTGTGTATTACTTGAGTGAGTGGAGTGATCTTTTGGATTTGGGGGGTCATTGTACTGTTAGTAGACCCTGTGTGGCGCAATTTCCAGTTCTGTTGTTCAACAATCCATAGACGAAGCACAATAAAAGCTGTAATGCCAGTGTATAAGAGGTCAGAATGATGGATGACTGTGAGGAGCAGGACAGACCAGTAGTGTAGAAGGTGATGCAAATGGTTAATACCCCAAATGTTGTCCCAAATGGGTGAATCTTTGCTGCGATCAGTCGTCCATTCTGCTCCAACAGCAGGTTCATCCAGATCATAACAACACAGTTGCCAATCCATCCTATCACGGACGGAACAATGACAAACTGCCCATATGTCTGGCTCTGCCAGACAATCCAGCAGCGCCAGATCTGCCATGCTATTAGGTCAATAACCACAAAAAGACAAGATGCACCAGAATAGCATCACCGATCAAGGTTTGTAATCCAACACAAATTGACTGGAGGTTCACCTGTGTAGCCCATTACCCACTGTGTACTATCTAGTCCACCCCAGCGGGGTGTCGCAGATAAGCTATGCTGCTCTCAGCATTGCCATAGAACTGAATAAACCTTGGAAAGGGAACTGAATAAATCTGAGCAGTTCTTAGGTTTTCACCATTTCTCGCACCAACTCCACATGACTGGCTATTATCACCTCACTCATAGTATGAATAATGTTCAATAGTGATTATATACCCAAGTATAGGAGTCAGTTCTAATCATGGACTACTCAAAAAGGAAATTGTATACCAGGTCCTAATAGTAAGTGAAATTCAGACACCTGTGCAGCCCAGATCAGCTCCATATATACTGTTAGGTTACAAGGATGACACAGTTCCCAAAAAGGAAATTTTCACAGTCTAACAGTGGAATCATAAGAGAGTGTCACACTTTGTCACAAAATCAAAGTTGTGTATTGTAACTATATAAACACCTTTCATTAAGTAACCTATAGTGGTGGCTCAATAAATGTGTTAGCACTGACCCATCACGAGCTCGTATTTAACTGATGGGCTCCTATCTCAATAGTTAAAAAAGAGAATATCTAGTACTTTAACAATGTAAGGTGACAGACTTGTAAGTTTAGCTACTCTAACAAAACCCCTGGTGTATACCCTCCTCACTCCCAGTGACTATGGCACTGATAATACAATACATTCACTCATCAGTAGAATTTGATCTCCATCACCTCTGAAAGATGGGCACAGATCTCCAGCTAGCCTTGGTGGATACAGTTGGAATAGAGTTCATTTGAAAGGTATACTATCCCACTATCCTTGAGCCACATCAGTTATATTTTTTGTCACCATTGCCCTGATCTATTTACTGCCAAGCATGCCTGAATACTAAATTGAGCAGTATTTTGGTGATATCCTAAGACTACATGCATGGAATCTCATGATCTAAGTTGATATGATATCATAGGATAGCCTAGCACACCCTTACTAATTTTCCACCATGGGACAAATGCTGGGGCCAGTCAATTAATAGAGACCTTAGGTGCTATATAACCCAGGATAGAGATATGCTAGAGGGGTACAGGCACCAGTTTCTAGAGGGTGGACCATACTCCTACTAGTGAATAGACTCAGATTTCCCAGACTTGCAAAGGTCATGCTATGATGAACTCATCATTATTGGGATAGATAACACTGATAATGGTACTGTGAGAGATCCAGAATAGCTATGAGGCTGATACAAGTGCTGGACAGGTTCATTTGAAGGTCTATACCATCTTATATCCAAGTCTTGCATCATACTTGAAATTAATTTCTAACCAGTTGTAATAGCGAAGACACTCTCCTTTTGCTCTATGGGTACCTTACCCTCTCTTCAGGTACCTTCTGTAATACATGCCAGAACCATGATGGATTATAGTATGGGGTCCTACTAGACATCCAAATATCCTCATACATGCATCTCAATATCCAGTACTCAGTCTATAGACCCTACCATTCATGTAAACTAGTTCTGCACTCAACTCATCTTGGAATATTCACCCCAATTCATCCTCCAAGAATATATAGAGATCAATCAGAGTATGTAGGTAGATGTATACACCTCATTTGCCAAGTTTCACATATTTGATCTATAATCAACTGGCAGATCATAGCTGTATTGCCAATATGATATGCAGTACTATTCATCATTATAATAGGGAATAACAAGATTTCGTATGTATATAATGTGGTGTGGGAAATTTGGGGACCCCTCCGTATGCTTCCTACTCTTATTGTGTTGGGGATCCCGCACTTCTGAGTAAGTTATTGGGAGCTCAGTGTGATAGGATATATGTTATATATACAGGTAGACACGATACCTAAAATTATGGGGGCTCCCATATCTATGATATACATCTATTAGACCAGATTGCAACTTAGATTATGCTTATCCATGAAGTTCTCAGTAAGATATCAAGTGATCATTGAGTTTAATCAAATTTGAAATATAACAACTACCAAAGAGTGGTATAATGTCATAGTCTCAACATATATAAGCATGATCACATCAGAGCATATCAACACTACGTTATTACCTACCTACCAGTACAAAAATCAACTCACTTGATGCAGGATTGGTGGAGATATTGCAGTGTCAATGTAGGTGATGAATCATCATAGCATAATATAGCTATGCAAATAACATTTTATCATCCTGGATATTGATCTTATCATTTAGGTACCCTTGGTAGTGCTTTAATCACCTATATAAGTTATCCACTTGCTGATATATTACTCAGGTGTAGATCAGCTAATAATTGGCCAATTCTAGTAATACAATTATTCAGTTGCGACTATAGGTCACTGAATGAAAGTTGTTTGTATAGCCAAAATACACAACTTTGATGATGTGATGATCTGTGACATTCTCTGATGATTGTACAGTCAAATAGTGAAAATTTCCTTTTGGGGAAATTTGTCACCCATCATGACACACATGTAACCCAGGTGCTGAGTTCAACCCAAGTCTCTAGAGGGTTTGAATTATTCATTACTATTCATTATTTCTCATATCAGAATACACTTATATGATAGCTATACATATACTAATAAGCTAAACTATACACAATGCTACTAGGAAATACCCAGTCTATTCACCATTATTCATACTATGAGTGAGGTGATAATAGCCAGTCATGTGGACTTGGTGCGAAAAATAGTGAAAACCTAAGAACTGCTCAGATTTATTCAGTTCCCTTTCCAAGGTTTATTCAGTTCTATGGCAATGCTGAGAGCAGCATGGCTTATCTGCGACACCCCGCTGGGGTGGACTAGATAGTACACAGTGGGTATTGGGCTACACAGCACTGGAGGTTATTTGATTCTGAAACCAGAATAGTAATTGGAGCACGCACCTTGGCCATTGTCATGAACTTGAAGCTGTGGGCATAGGCATATTCTGGCCCCCCAGGCCCGGTGTAGATGGCAAATGCCTCGACAGCATCCACCAGTGAGAAAACAGCATCCAATGTGTCATTAATGAAGAGGACGTCTCCCATCAAAAACTGGCCCTAAACTGATCACGTTGCCATGTCTTTGGCAGATCTTTGATGGATTTGTTACCTATGTGTCACATCAAAGAAAAACATCGTACCATTCTTTCCTTCCCCCCTCATGTTCCCCCCTTCTCGACTTCTTCTCCCCCTTCGAAAACGTAGGCCGCCAGCCGATGCTCTGCCAATGCCTGTTCGTGAAGGCGCACTGAGAGTGGTACCGGGCCCACCCGCGCGGAAGGAGCATGTTCTCCCTCGCTCGTCGGCCCTCCGTCCTGCCTCGTGTGCCCGTTTGATGAGCGCTATCGTCATTGCAGGTGAGTGGTCCGTCTTCAACGTGGCCCATGCTTACCAATCGTCTGCAGACGCTGCCTCTGCGCTGTCTGCGCTGGTTCCTGGGAAGATGGGAGGGCTGCTGGAGACGCTACGAGGGATCGAACGGTCCAAATGGCGGGTGAGTGGAGCCATCAACGGCTATGCAAACCAGCTGACCGAGCCGAGCGCTGGCCCGCCAACCCCAGCTTCCGCTTCCGCGCCACTTGCTGATTGCCATCTGCCATCCGCCATCGCTGTCGTCTCGCCACCCTTCTCGCTGGACTAGGATGCCACACGAGTCGCGTAGTGAAGCTGCTACCCCGCTGCACCGGCGTAGTAACGCCGCGTGTGTACGTGGCCCCACGCCATTTACGCATCACCCTGCCCGAGGTCGCCGCGACCGTGAACGCTCTCGCTTACAAGGACACTAACCATGGGTACCCAGCTGCATTGCCCAGCTGCATGGATGCTGTGTGCAACACTGTTTTGGCGTGAGGCAGTGGGAAGGCAGTGGGACACCAGATGCCGTGGTACGTGATTCACCCTGCTTCATCCATGCTTGTGCTGACAGTGGACAACAGGTTCTTGGAATATGGGCTGACATAGCGGGAGTGTCCAGATGATGTGTATCATCTTGTAGGGTAATAGAGCTATTGTATCGTAGTTTTGCGTTGAATCAAATAATTGGATTGCTCTTCTATCATTGCAAGCCCTCTGAAAAAGCTTTAAATTGCTGGAAATCTCCCAAAAATTCATTGGAAATTTGCTCAGATTTCCCGAAATTTCTGGGGGACTAAAGGAATTACAGAAATCCTGGAAATGAAAGAAATCATCAAAAATCCATGCTGATTTTGCGAAATTTCCAGAAATCCTGTCGGATTTCTCGGGGAGGTTTTTCCTGATGAATGTAGTCATGTTGACAGCAAGCAGGTAGGCAACTGGATATGAGACCATGCTCAAGTCTTTGGAGACAGAGGGGGACAAGTGATTCAGAGGTCCAGACTTACTGCACCTTGATATAGGGCAAAATTAGCAAGGCTGTTTCCCAGCATTGCCAAAGAACTAGCGCATGCAGCGCACTGGCATGATCACAGTCTGTGCTTCCAAATTTGTAATCTGCCTGGGAACCCAGAGCTAGATTTTAGCTCCCATCACCACACATTTCAAATCCCTCTGCCAGTGATGTGGAGCTTCTCCTACGTCTGCGACCATCTACCAGGAGTCACCAGCATCCTGTGATCATTGATGTCTAGTAAGATGAATAGTCCTACCATTGGCTAGTAACAAGCTTAGAGCTATCTCAAGCATGATAAGCAGAATAGAAGCTTGATATTCGGGCAGATATGAAGGCGGGATGTGATCCACACTGCATGTTGTTCCGTTGTGCACTTGTAGCAGACCTTCGGTTGCATCATACCCATAAGTAGCATCCAATTGTAACTGCAAGCACGGCTCCACTGACAGCGCTCCGTGTCCTGATGATGGCATTCCGGCTCCAGCAAGCCTTCGGCGGCTTCTTCGATCGACATGCCCAGGTGGTGCACTGAGATATAGATTGATCCCCGTCGAGACTCCGAGTCGAGCGAAAGGAACTTGATCGAAGCGTGCATGATGTGTTCGTATCTGCCATGTAGTTTCCCGCTCCCTCAATACATATCATATGTTGCACAGTGATTAGATGAGGTCGCGCTGACACTGACCATAGTTTCGGAACCCGAGGAACAATGGCATGGATAAGCTATGTACCAAATTAGAAGGATAACACACAAGCGACTGCATCATACTTGAGTCAAGCGTTGCAAACCGCTCCATCACCGCTGAAAGATGGTCCTCTGCTGTAGCGGCCAGCCCGAGCTGCTTCCCTCCTGCTCTTCCCTTCCCTGCCTCTCCCCTCCCTCTATGTCCAGCCGCGCTGGGCCGCGCCGCCAGTTCGCCGCAGGCCGCATCTGGACAAGCGTCCTCGGCGCAATTACCGGTAACCTCTCCGCCGCAAACCGCGCGATCAAGCCGTCTTGCAGACCTGCGCGGGGCGTCCCGACCGGGTCGGCCCCATTGGCGATAAAGGACGGCAGCTCTTCCGGGCGCATTACATTGAGCGCGTCGCGGGGCACGGCTTCTGGCGGCCCGGGGTCCTGCGGGGCCGGCCGTGGCCCGCGGGCAACGTTTGCCATGAGCGCGACCCACGCAGCATGCGGGTCGGGTGCCGGGCCGGTCTCCGCGTCGGCCTGGCGGGGGACCGGCGGTTCCGGCGATGGGGGTCGCGCATTTCGGTTGGATGCTAAGGGTGCTGGCTCTCGACGCCAAGAGTTCGTCCACGCACTGTCGATAGTTTGGTTGCGATTTTGGTCGTTAACGTTGGAGATATCGGCCAGGCTGCTGTCGCTATGTTGTCGCTGACTCATCCGCGCTGCAACGAGCCTCCCCCCTCGACGTAACGCTTCCACTCACAGTCACAGTCGCAGTGATATTGCCCCCCGCGACGACGCGTCTGCTTAGCCCGTCGACAACACCTGTCGTCCTCTCCAAGTGGCTCGTGACCTGTGCGAGCTGCCCCGCAAGGTCGCCCCGCTCGCGATCCATCGCCGCTAGCCGTCCGCCGATCACCGTCACCACGGTACGCAACTCCTGCAACCGCGACCTTTCCCCTACGCCAGGTGGGACTGGGGAGTCGGCGGCGAGAGTCCGTGCCGACTGAGGTTGGGCCTCGTCCGTCTCCAGTCGCGCTTGCTGCTCTTCCTCCCTCCCCTGTTCCTGATCTCCATTCTCTGGCTGCTCTCCTTCGACCTCTTGTTCTGCTGCTCCATCCCTCTCTCCCTCCCAGTCCCGTGCACTGGCACCATCGAAGAGGCCCTCCATCGCCGCCAACAGCGCCGCCCTACCCTCGGGCATATCCGGCACCTCCGCTACCCGAATCCTACCAACTTCTTCATTCTCATCTTGCCCCGCATCGAAGTTGTTTCGCTGCACCGGCTCGTCATCATCCGACTCCTCGTCATCATCATCGTCGTCCGACTCATCAGAGCTCTGGCCGACGTCCCCGAGCCCGGGCAGGTCGTCGAGATTGTCCTCATCCTCAACGTCAGGATTGTCTTCATCGTCCCCGGCAGCTGTCGCTCTGGACAAAAGCGGGGGCTCTGAGACTTGGAGAGGGACTACCGGGATCGGGAGCTGCATAATGCGAGCGAACGCGCCGTCCGTAGGGTCAACCGAGAAGGCGGTTGACTCAGAGCGGGTTTGGGACTGGGGAGGAGGATTGGGGAGAGGATTGGCGGGGATTGCAGTGGGGAGTGGTACGGAGTTGGAAGTGGAAGCCGTAGGGGAAGTTGTGGGAAAAGTCGCTGCCGGTGAAACCGCGTCACGGAGGAAGACCCACGAAATGCGGGGGCCCGGTGTGCGTCGCACACCACGTGCGCTCTACGCCCAATGCGTTCCCACTACCGCCCATCGATAAGCACATAAAAAGCCAGAAAAAAGACAGAATGACGCACCATACAGCACACCCCAGTCCCCGCGCAACACACCCGCAGCCACTCCTATGTCTAGCGATGATTCCGCGCATCGGAGGTGAATGATAGGCGCTGTCCAGTGGCACGACAGTACTCGCCATTTCCCCGACATCAAGCGCCGCCCAGTCTCCTTCCCCGACAACTCCCCGTTCGCCCTCTCCATTGGCTCCCGCCAGCTGCGCGCCCCTTGTCTGGCTCTGTGGGTCTGGCGCACGCACTATCATGCCTGCCGCGCTGTGGACCGCCGCGCCACAGCCTGTCATCGCCCCCCAACCTCCCATCGATGGCGGCCATTCTTCTTCTCCTTCTGGCAGGATTTGCACCCGCCACGCTCTCCTCTCGTCATTTATCCCTCTTGGCAGCGGCGCCCCGCATACGAGTGGTGTGCCCATCCTCGTCTTTGTCCTCGTTGTCGCACGACTCGCCGCAACAACTATTGGGAAGGAGGGCCTGTTTAGCGGTGGGAGGCCACGCGAGGTGGATGGGTCGTTGTCAGCCATCGGGGATCGTCTTCTCGATGGAAGGCGTTTGGTGGTGATGACGGGAAGAGGCAAAGTGAAGACGTGAGAGGCGCGTGACGTGATGGGCACGTGCGGAGCGTCACATCTCAAAGGAAGCCTGTTAATACTTATGCCATACCAGGTCAAAAGAGGGTGAGTAGCTAGCTAATTTACAGGTCATCACAGATAAGATTTCCCCGAAGGAGGATGAATATTAACTTGTGAAAAATAACAAAAAAAATAGTTAGTGCTGGCTAAATATGATTATATTATTTTATGGGCATAATATATTATAATCATATCATATTGAGAGCTCCAACACAATAATATATTTGTAGTATAGTATAATCATATTCAGCTGCAAAATATGAATATGTTATGAATATATTTAACTATAATCTAGTATGCATATATGCTGCTAGAAAAAAATTAATACATAAGATACATGCTGGATTGTCAGGGCAACTTCCTTTTGGGCCTCTCTAATCCTAGCCTTGGATACATAGGACTCTCAAAATACAATCAGGGGCATTGTCACTAGTATTAGGTTGACCAGTAGACACTTGATCAGGGGTTCTATACTAGGGTCAACCCAAAGTGATCACTCCTGACTCTTGTTCCTACTAGAATATAATAGATAATATGTGACATTTATCAGAAGTAGGGCTAACTCAGACTAAGATTAGTACTATGACTGACTACATGCACTGAGAAAATAGCGGTGATCATTCACCTTACTATAGTTGAATATTCTGTGACTATAATATAGTATAGTCATAATATAATATATACAAACATAATCATATTCAAGTGATCCACCAAGGCATAATATATTCATAATATTCTGAATATATTCAATAATTAATCAACCATAATATAATTCTGGCCAGCACTAAAAATAATGTGTGGTCTCAGAGTGGGAGTCGGAGTGGAACTTTAGAAGTGTTGGCTTTTCTGGGCTTACATACTTACCAACTCAAACCCACCCTTGTGTTCTAGCATATATATACATATGCATGAAGGAAGATGACATTCCTATGGAGTTGTTGATGGTACAAATTTAACTGAAATGAGTTCAAATGACGACCATTTTTTAGTAAATGAGACAAGTTGAAGTTGCAGTTGCAATTGGACGGTGCCGCGACGGCTTCCCAAAGTGTGCTGTAATGGCCAGGTCGGCACAAACGCGCTATGACCCAAATTCCAATTGGAGAGTAAGCATGGAGCGCACCTCATTCGGACCGGCAGAAGAACTTTCCAGTGAGGTCTTCTACTCCCGAGCTAGGCACAAGGGTTTTTCCGTCGAGGACCGGCCCGTTGGACAGGGTCAGTTTCAGTTCCGAGTTCTCGATGTGCACGCTGAACGTTCCAGTCCCTTGCAGGTCGGCGCCCGCGTCGTAGGTGATCTTGACGTCAATGCTCGCCGGGAGGCTATTCCAAATGCTGGGCTCCGACGACTCGGAAAGGGTGAGCTCCAGGGTGTAAATGACCCCTGTGTCCGAGTCAATGATCGTGGCCTGAGCGCCGCCCTTGGCGCGCTCGAGTGTTATGATCTCGACAGTCTTCGACATTGCGCTGTATGTGAGTAGGTCAACGCGACATGAGCACGATGATAGCCCAGAGGGACTTGCAAAATCACATTGTAAGGGGGCGGGGCGAATGCAGCAGGTGGTTGATGGGGGAAGGAATATGGACCAAGGGAAGGCCTGGCATACGCGGCCTGCCTTATACGCAGCTAGTTGGCGTTGGGAATGCACGCAGCGATCGGAACAACATCAGGAATGCTGCCAGAAGCTGCCACTGGCAGTTGCTCCACCCAGATCATCAGTGCATCTCGGGGTTTACTATGCGGCTGCGTGCGGCCTGTGCCCGATGCACGATAGGGTATTGATTCTTGCGGTGCCATCGAAGCTGCCTGTGGAGCTGTGGAAAGTCTGCGAAGCGAGTAGAAGATCCCGAGTAGAAGAAAGATCCGGGGGGTTATTAGCGTTCCAGGTAAAAAATTAATCATGATGACGCACTGAAGGACGTCAAGTGCTGGACAGATACTTCAAGCACTGAAATATGATTCAGAAGGAGGGAAGACACATCAACCGGACTCATCTTACTGGGAGGTTTGCAACATTAATATTGACACGTCGCGCCACCATCGACTGTGGGGTGCACCGTGCCGCGATCGGCGTCGGCCACTGGCAGCTGTGCCGGCGCCGGGGCTGGCGGAAGGCACCGCAGCATTGACAGCCAGTCCCCTTCCGCCTTCTTGCGTAACCTGCCCCGGCCGCACTCCGAGGCAGCGCCACCTCCACCGCCGAATCGCGCTATTTCCTTCATCTTCCAGCGGGCGTTCAGCGCATCGATGTATTCTCCCCACCTCGCCCTCTTCCTCGCCCCGTCCAGATCTCGGTTGTTATTGTCATTGGGATCGCTGTGAGCGCGGGCGGAGAGCGGGGCAGGGGGATATGGCTGGACGTGGAAGTTGGGGAAGAGAAGAGACCCAGAAGCGGTTTCGGCGCCCCCATCCGGCCCAATGCTGACGCTGAGCGCCGCCCGCGTCTTCGTGCACCCAATGCTCGTCGAGCACGGCGGCGACTCGTCGTACTGCCGCCGTATTTCCGCCCCGGACGGTCATCGCGATGTGTTCCCTGCAGCTTTTACGTCCCTGCTCCGTCGCCGGGCTGGCGAGACCGTGCTAATTGTAGACGTGCACTAGTACGCCTGGCCGCCGGCGGTCACCGGTACGTGGGCCCGTTGGCTTCTTTTGAGCGAGGTAGCGCCGAGTGACCTGGCTACGCACTTCTCCACACCACGTCGGGCGGCGAACGAAGCGCGTCCCGTTGCCCGCCGAGCCCGGTGGCCGGGGCGAATGCGCGGTGAAGGGTGAAGGGAGGGTGCCAAGCCTGCAAGTGCCCGTGCTTCTGAGAGTTTTGCGCTTCTCCCGTCGCACGTCTGCTAGGCTGGCCTCCACAGGCACCATGGCACGGAGTAGTTGCGGGATGACGTTGTGGCTCGATGTGGCGAGTGAACGCGCAGACGCCTCGGTGAGTAGATGGCCTCCCGCAAGGCCTCCCGCGTTGTCGTTTGTCTCTGTATGCTCCGGCACGCACGTATTGGGCCCCGGATGAAGGTTCTGCCCATGGGAGGGTAGGTCATCTCCCAGCAGCTCTTAACTACTCCGCAAGGTCACGCGTTCCTAAAGAGGAAGGTCCACATGTGACCCCGCCCTCCCGCCGTCTCGCGCTTTAAACTATAGGTTAATTATTTGTTTTTGTATTAATTATGAACAAAGAAAGTGTCCCACATCTACCAAGTTCGTCGCATTGTCCGGGACAACGACTGGGTAATTTCCTTTCCACACCTCCATTATCGTTCCCTCCCCATCCCGCACCGCGCAGCCTCCAAACCAATGGCCAACACTGAAGCGGGGGCTGGGTTCTTCACATTCTCCATTGCCCCACTCAACACTACTAGTTCCACCGCCCCCATATCCGCCTTCGATCCCTCTACACGGCACGGTTTTGCGTTCGACGCGGCCCATGGCTATGAGCTTGTCTTCGAATCTACTGGTCATTTTGAGACCTGGTTGCTGGACCAACGACGGACGCGCTGTGTCGAATTTCGCCATCGCATGACAGAGGCATGCAAACAGCCCGAGCACCAACGGGCATGGTTGACCCGTGCCACCTACACTTGCACCCGCGACGGTGACTCCCGTCTCAACCCGCGAGAACGGACCCGGCCTGAGCGCAAGTCCAAGGATTTCAAGAAGGAGCTTGAGGATGGATGCAGTGGCCTCATCACGATGAAGAGGTATCCCGGCACAGACCGTGTCCGTGTCAAGTATCGCGACGAGCATTCGCACCCGCTCGGCGAGGCAAATCTGCCGTACATGACTCTGTCGAAGGATGCGCGCCAGGACATTGAGCGGCGCTTGATGAATGGAGACTCGGGGAAGGCCATTGTGGGTGTGTGATTGCTCTTCTGGGGTGTATTGCTGAGTTTTTGCAGTATAATAGCATCAAGAAAACTGCAGACGAGGCATCGATTGTCGGAAGCCTCGCAACTGTGAACCGCGACCAAAAAGTGAAGATGCGCGACATTGGTCGCATTGCTGCAAGGCTCAGGGCCGAGGAGTACCGCCTGCATCCTAATGATGACGAGTCAGTGCTCGAGCATGCAAAACGGCTTCACGAAGCAGGTCACCATGTGTTCCTCAAAACGCGACGCGACGCGCCACCCGCTGGATCCGGCCTCGACACCGATGCTTTCATCCTTGTCTTCCAGACCCAGTACCAACAGCAGTGTTGGTACTATTACGGACACGACCGCTTTGCGGGTGTGGACGCCACACACAATACGACACACTACAAGAGTGTCTCGGTCGCCAGAGGTTGTCCCGCGGGTGTGGATGAGCGACAGAGACAACGGGCAAATCAATGCTGTGCTTGGCGTTTACATCACAGCTTGGCTGCTTCTCTGTCGCTGGCACGTCGTCCACGCGTGGTATCAGCACTTCAATGTGTCCGCGTATCCCAAACTCTGGGCATTGCTGAAAGACTTGGTTTATGCAGCAACCAAGGACCGATTTGATGAGCTCTGGTCCAACATCCAACACCTTGGTGCTTCGGACTGCCCCCCCTCGGTCATTGTTTATCTCAAAGAGTACTGGATGTCGGAGACCTGGCTGCCGAGATGGGCAGCATACTTTCGTACGGGTCGTACAGTGTATCAAGAATCTGACACCAACATGCTTACTGAAGCATGGCACCACATGCTCAAATCGTACTTCGGCGACGGAACCCGGAATCGGCGGCTCGATGAGCTCATCTGGATTCTAACCACCGCGGTTGAGACGCATACAAAAGCACGTCATCAAGAGCAGCTTGCTGGGACACACGGACATAATCTCGAGCAAACCGCTCGTCTTTCAGATCCTGCAACGCGCCAAACCCATTCTCCCAACATTCATTGCTCCGCCCACCAACGCCAACACTTCCTATGTTGTTCTCTCCCCAGCTTCCATGACGTTCTATAGCGTCAACCGGAATGGATGCTCGTGTAGCGACTATCACCGCATCCATTTCTGCACTCATACTGCTGGGGTTGGAATACATTTTCCCAACTCCGGAATCGATATTGCTATATACCCGCCCACTGTGCGTACACTTCTCCATCCACAAGTTGCAATTCCCGGGGCGGCAACAACTTTAACACCCACACCACTGCAACTGGAGGCATATGCCCTTCCGCCAGGTATATCTGATGTTGAAACAGCAGCGTCTCACCAGCTTGCCAAACAGCTGCTTGCCATTGCAGCAGACGTTGCTCAGAACCCGCGCTCGTTGACGGACATTACCGGCCTTCGGGAGGCAGTTACCCATTTCTTGAAACCTGATTCAATGCTACTTCCGGCCGCTGAGAAGGTAGCTCCGAATCAGAAGAACCACTGGGCGGAGACGACCAAAAACATGGGTTGCTCTCAATCGACTGCCTTGAAACGCAAGCGGGATCCCGATGGGTCCGGAATTGGTGTGCGAAAGACCAAAATCAAATCATATGATGATCCTTTCGGCGCTGGGGAACGATCAGGTAAACGGGCTCGTCCGGATGCCCAAAATGCGCCAATGCCACCTGTACCCTCAGCCCCGCCTTCACCCCCAGCCCCGCCGCCACTTCTGCCACCTTCTACTGTCTCCAAGGTTAATCGCCGGACCCAATTACCGAAGAAACTGCCAACACCTTCGACGCACATGATGAGCACTCGAGCGCGCGGCCCAGCAGTGTCATATGGCCCCGTCTATCTGGACCGGCCGCCCGGAGCACCGCCGCCAACCCTGTATGGGATGCCACCCCCGCCAATTTGAATGTTGAATTAGTTGCATTGTTTCATTTTAATACAATTATAAATGTTTAGGACTTAACAGCGGGATATAACTCTTAAGGGCGCGAAGGCGGGACAGGTGGCGGGGTCATGTGCTGGGAAATTTCCTTTTTAGGAAGCCGTGACCTTGCGGATTCGGTTTCAAGTTCTCCCAGCAGGTATAAAAAGAAAGCTTGTGCAATGCCAGACCCACTGCACCATCCCAGAATGAAGATGATCAGCAGCCTTGTTTTCCTCGCCCTCCATGCACTCGCCGCAAGCAGCACCGCGCTGAAGAAGGGCGACTGCCCGCTCGACACCTCTGTCTCTATGCACATCCCGGCCAACCAGACCGCGCTCGTGCAGCCCGCCACGGCCCCGCTCTTCGTCGCACTCGGCGTTGGGTTTCAGAACTACACGTGCAACGCGGCGGGCACGTTTGCGTGAGTGTTGTGACTCGAAATTTCCCGCGCAGTGTTGATATTGGCCCCAGGTCGATCGGCGCGGTGGCCTCGCTGCTCGACCTCTCCTGCGTCGCGCACAAGAAAGCGTTCGACACCGTGGCCGCGCGCGCATTCGAAGCGTGGGTCGCCGCCCCGCCTGGCGTCAGCCAGACATACATCGGGGCCGAAGTCGGCGTTCCCGTCCTCCTCGGGGTAAGCTTTGGCCCGCCGTTGCAGCATAACGTGACCGCCCCAGTTCCACTACTTCATCACGTCGCCCCTCGGCACACCCGGCGCGATCAACGCGAAGTGGGACTTCACATCCACCGGCCGGTTCAAGGGCGACGAGACGGCCTTCGTCGTCGGCGCCAAGGTCGGCGACATCCCCGCCCCGCCGCCCGCGGTCGACGCAGTCACGGTCGACTGGCTGATGCTCAACGGCATCCCCAACTTCGATGCGCTTGCGGCCCAGGTGTTCAGAGTGGACACCGTTGGGGGGCAGCCGCCGACATCGGTGAGTGGCTTCGCTTGAGTTTGCGACAGTTCAGTTGAACGGAACACAGTGTGTCCCGGGCACGGACACGACGATTGAGGTCAAGTATGTCGCCAAGTACTTCTTTTATTGAGTGCAGGGCCAAAAAAAGCTGCCAAGTTTGTGCTGTCGATGATGAGTTCAATAATACAATGTTGCCTGAGTCGACGACCTGAGTTGATTGTTTTGTTGGAGCTCGAGTCTGCAGCGAATAAGATTGTCGTTGATGCTAGAGACTCAGACGGAGTGGAAGAACAGCCGTCATGCCAGTGAAAAACAGTCCTCCTGACAGTGGCTGACACACACGGCGCGCAGTGCTTGATTGTGATACCTCCCTAGCCTGGTGTCGTGTTAGTAGTCCATACCCGCGTGGACATTGAAGTCTCACAATGCAACGGGTTCCGCTCATGGACAGTGAGAGCTTTGGTGGGAAGAGGCAAGCCAGAGCACGTTCACACGCCGTCATTGATACGTCATCCGGGCCGATCGGCGTGTCACGGCTCACGGCAAAAGGAAGTAGCCCACACTTGGCGTGCCGTACTAGACTTCAAAAGCTTGTAAACCAGCTACATGCAGATCATCCAAGTGCAGGGCACATTGAGGTTTTCAAATGCAGGTAACACGATTACAGTGATGTATCGTGCTGGGAAAGCAGGGGACTGCGCTGCTTAGTATCGCTCCAGAAGCAGACTCGGAATGCCTGCGACATTAATGCAACCGCGGTGAAGTACTGACCGCCCCCAATGCCCCCCCATTGCTGTCACCAGCCTGTCAGCCGGCCTCGCAGGTCCACCAACCGTTCGCGCATCGCGTTCAGCCTTATCTGGGCTGGCGTCAAGGCTTCCGTTTGAACCGCCGTCAACGGAGTCCGGGACTGGGACTGCAGGTACGACTCCAGCCCGCGGGCCGCCAGCGCCGACATGGGTGCCACACTGACCTGCGGACGCGTCTCCTCTACCAGAATTTCGGCCCGCGCCGCCTCTAATCTCGTCAACTCCCGCTGCAGCTCTGCCTCTTCCCGTAGTAGTATCTGCATCCGCGTCTCCATGTCCCGCTGCTGCTGTTGCTGCTCCTCCTGATTATCGGCATCGTCAGCATCGTCGTTGTCGAACGATTCCTCCGAACTAAAGTCGTCCAGGTCGGGAAGGTCGGAGTCGTTTACGCCGACCGTGCCGCCATAGGACAGCAAGGGAGGTCGGAGTACTTGGTCGCGGGAGGGTAGCAGAGGCATGGGCGAGGGCATGGCAGCTGCGGGGTCTGTAGCAAGAAGGCCTGAGGGCTCGTATTGGAGGATAGGCCCGGAGAGGTGAGACGACTGCAAGCGGGCAGGAGGCTGGCGGGTATGGACAGGAATGGAGACCGATGAGTTTGGCGCAATGGGGGACACTGCGCCGTGGAGGAAGACATATGACGTTTTTGGCCCGCCGTGTGTCGAGCAGAGGATGCGCTCCATGCCCAGGGCATTTCCACTTTCATCACTTAGAACCCATAACGAAGGGAAGAACGACGCACCAGACGGCACACCCTAGTCCCCGCGCGACACATCCGCATCCACTGCCGTTGTTGACGTTATCCGCGATGAGTGCTCTCAGATCCGATGTGTGGTATTCTTCGCCCAGTGTCACGACCGAGCATGCCAGCTCCCCGCCTTCCAGCCCACCCCAGTCACGGTCCTCCTCCTCTATGTCGGCATTATTGACATTACCGTTCCTCGCCCGTCGGCTGGGTGGCGCATGTGGTATGACCGCTGCCCCGCTGTGCACTACCGCCCCGCATCCCGTCGACATCGCCGTCGCCAAACTCGAACTCGCCGTAGATGCCTCGCTTTCCCTAGTATCCATGGCCACCTCGGGCAATATCTGCACTCGCCACGATCGCGACTCGTGTAGCACGCCCAGGAGTATAGCTCCACACACCACCGGCGTTCCACTCCCTGTAGCCGTACTTGCTGGGATTGTCGATGCTGGCGCTGCCACTGGTGGCAAGGTGCGAGCTATCCGAGTCCTCCGAGAAGAAAAGACCCTGGCGCGCAACACAGGCGACAGGGTCTGCAGCAGCGAGGCTTCTCTGGTAGACGGCGTGGACTGTGACATCGAAAAGATGCGGGGATGGTGACGGACGAAGGAAAGGAAGGGAACGCGTGACGCGACGCACACGTGCCGTAGGTCACTGTGTGACACTACAGAGTTCCAAACAGCCGAATATTCGTATTTTTGATTTGCTCACGCACTACCAGAGTGGCGGATTTAGTCATATACGCGCGCTGCATCTATTTCTTCGTGACCGCCTCACGTGCTCGTCACCTCTGTGACGTCACGCGCTTCTTCTTCTTCTTCTTTCCCCCACGTTTGCACTACAATTTTCGGTTGCGGCGATCCAGGATGGCCAACAGAGACACACCTACTGTTTCGTCTTTGACATTACCTTCATTGCCAGCAGCGACAGCGCTGATGGACACGACAACAAGGCTGGTTTGCGGGGCACCAAGAAGGATAGTGCATGATGAGATAGGTGCGTGGAGGGTGCAGATTTTACGTGAGACCAAGGGCAAGGGGAGGACAATCTGTCCATGACGTCAACCGGGTGTGGGGCGGCGGTTATGCAGCATGCACCAGTGACCAGACTGGCTGTATCGATAGCCTGAGCAAGGGCCAGCTAGAGCGAAACCGAACGAGGACAAGGGAAAGCGGACTGGGGCGCAGAGGGCGAGGAGCTGGCGCGCTCGGTGGTGACCCTGGATGAGGCCTACTTCATGCCAGCCATACACATGTTGATTGCTGGCTATGTCAAAGGGAGAAATGCAGACACTCAGAGCCCATGTGAGTGTCTCTTGCACGGATTGGTGTGCGCCGTCTGGTGCGTTCTGCTCGTTTTTCCGCTTTGTGGAAGATGTCGACAGTGAGTTCATTATTAGTGGAAACACTCTTGGTTTGGAGCGCATCTTTTTGTGCAACGCACGATGGACCAAAAACATTCTACATCTTCCCCAACGACGCAGTCTCGCCACTCCTCACTCAGCAACTACCGCATGACCTGTCAGAACCCAATTCCGACCCTGCCAACCAAGGGGGTGTCATTATTTGAAAATCGGATATACCGTTGAAAAGTTTTTTTAAGGGCCTTCTGGGACCCCCTCCCCCTTACCATATTGGGTAATATATTCCCATGATCGCTCACCATGTAACCTGATGATGCGATCAAAAGTAGCGATAAAATTCAGATTTCCAGTTCAATTCATCAAAATACTGTTACTTATGGTTGATATATAGGACTTGAGCCCTCACACAGTTACTAGTAGGCCATTCAAGGCTATATGTAATCCATTAGCAATGATAAATTTATAACACCAGTCACACCAGTCACACTGTAGTCACACTGCACCCTAAGTAAGGTGTTGAAAGCTGCCCCAGGGGAAAGTAGTAGGCATTCTGTATACCCACTTTGTATTCCATGCTAAAATACTACAACTGTGGTGACCTATCAGAACCCCCCCAAACTTTTACATAGCAAAAGTTTTTTTCACCCTCCCTAGGACCCTTCCCCCCTACCCCATGTCCGTGATAAGCATCTTGACACCCCTTGTGGCCAGTCACAGAAGACTTTTTTGACATTTGGCTAGGCACACCAGAGTAGGGTGCTGTGAGTAATTCCCAGGGAATTACTCACAGGTGTTTTGAAACTGTTTCGAAACCATATTTCTATATTAGGCAATTGTAGCTAATTAAAATTCCAAGTCATCGACACACTCATCCACTATCAGTTCAGTTGATGGACCTTCAAGTTGATCCACCTGATATCCACTCGTGTCTGATTCGACTGCCCCAGCGATTGGCTCGTCACTCAACAAGTCTCGGAAGAAGAAGACATGTGAAATGTTGGCATACCGTTCGGCTTCGAAGGACGCATCTAAGAGACTGCGTGTCAGCTCGGCTTCATCGTGTGCTGGTTCCTCGTGGTTGAGCGCCTCCAGACCTGCTGCCGCGGCTGCTGCCTCAGCTGCTGCAACAGACGCCTTCTCGAAGGCGACCACCGATGGGCCATCCTTGTCACCTACCACATCTTCATTAGACTGGTGCTCGTCATCGCTCTCCGAGTCGGTGTCAGAGCTCAGATCTAAAACAGCAGCCTGTGTCTCGTTAGCGAGTGGAATGGTGTCAGTGACTGTCAGCAAGCTCTTGACAGACCGCCAGTTCAGCTTCGGAGCAACAGGCTCCTTCTTGGGCATGTCACGGCACAACACATGCTCACGGACTTTGGCCATTGACGATTGCGGTCCTTGGTGGTAAGTTTGGTGAATACCGAGACAGTGCGCTCCTCGGGCATAGATGTGGGCATAATAGCGAATATTTTGATGGCAATGAACTGGCGCAATTCAGATCCCATCAACGAGGAAAGGACAACATACTGCAAGAACAGATGCATCGGCTTCATTGAGCATGGCCCGCCAGAACAGATATGCCCGTGACCAAGCTGGATCACGCATATTGAACGGTGCTCGCTGACGGGTGTATGCCTCGTACTGCGAACGAAGCGCATCAAGAATTGCCGTTACCCTTGTGTACCGTGCAAAAGGGCGAGTTTTGCGAAGGTTCAGGTCGGCCTTCAGGTGGTTTTTTGAGGAGATCGAAGAGGAACTTGCCAACCATTGCGTAGGTGGGGATAGATGCTCGAAGGTCTTGATCGGTCCCATCTGAGGTGGTTTCTGAGGTTGGCGCTTGAGACGCATCGGCTGTTACTGGTATCGTGGCCAAATTTGTAGCGGAACTTGAGTTCCCGACCAATGGTGCTGTTGCCGTGACACGGCGTAAAAACACACTTGAAATGTATTCTGAGAATATTGAGTGAAGAATCTGCATAACAACGATTGAACAATGTACGAGGATCGAGAAAGAATCCCGAAATTGACACATTGATCTGGTGGTGCAAAAAAATAAGTAAACTTCGAGTTTGAGTTTTGAGATTGATTTGAGCTTGGAGTTTAAGTGTGAAATACTATCCTTGCATTATTTTATGTTCGAAATAGGCAATGGCATAACTTGTGCAATTGGGACAACAAAAATATTTTTAAGAAACACAATTTGCTCAATTGTTCAGAATTTCCTTTTATAGACATGTTTATTAAATGGTAAGTAACTGCAGAAACAACTTAATAAGCTTAATAATCTATCATATCATGTAACACAAGTCCACACCAACTACACCTCCAGTCTCAGACTTATATGAGTCTATCACTGGCATACCCTCTAGTGCTCAAAAGTTTCAAAACATTAGATCCAAGATATGAGCAAGTTAGTGAGACCGAAGAACATGTGTCAAACCCTGGGTTCAAAAACCCTTTTTCTTCGCCTTTTAAACCTTTTATTTTGGCCCTGGTTGATAAGATAAGACAAGGAGGAGATAAGATGGACGATAAGATGGTGATTGGATCATCAGATGTCGATGCTGATGTTGATTGACAGCGTGGAGTTGAACATGAGGCAAACAGCACGTAAAGGCATGGCTAAAGCATGACGTCATTACCTCTTGTATTAGGCATGGTAAACACATGGTAGTAGTGTATATAAGTAGAGTAGATTTCGTCTTGTACCCCAGTCTTTGAATTCCATCATCTTTACGATATCCTTTCACGGTGCTTCTTGCTTGCCTTCACTGGCCAACTGGCATCCTCTGAATTGGTGTTGTTTGTGACATAATTCGAAGACTACCCTCTTACCCTCGTACCCTCCTACCTCTTACCACCTACCCAAACCACTCCCCTACCCCGTTACTATCGCCAAATTTCCCACACCCTTTTTCCACGCCCTCTCCCCTTCTGCTTTAGGTCGTCTGCTCTAGGTCCTTTTGCTCTAGGTTCTTTTCTTCTTGGCTAGGTACACTCGGAGACGACAATCCAAGGGACCCACTCGAGAGGACACGCGCTTCGTACTTGCAAGAGAGACGTCTGGCCCAACCCAGGTGCTTTCGTAGAGTCATAGCTGCTACAAGGAGCGCAGGGGCAATCTTCGGAGAACCCTAGTTCGTCCAGCCGGGGGTGTGTCGTAGAAGGCCCCGGTGGATTCCTCTCACGCAACAGGTCTCTTGGACCCCCGACAACGGACTCTCCGGTCCATCCTCTGTGGCGCTCTCCGCGCTTTGATCCCTGACCTCTCGTCAGGGGCTCCTTCTGAGGAGTCTTCAAGAAATTCTACACCCCCTCTCTCTCCCCTATCCCCTCTCCATTCAACCACTTTTACCTCGACTCTCTTCCTCCTTCTCCAATCTCCGCCCTAGCTACTCTTGCCATTGCTCCTACCTCCATAACCGTACCACAACCCACACCCGCATCCGCACCCCAACCACCAACCAATATGTCTCGCGTCGTACTTGCGAACCCCCCTCCTCTCTTCTCTGGCGAGAAATCGCTTTGGGAAAATTTCTACGACTCTGTCACAACCTATATTGCGGCATACTCTGATGCGCTCGACACAGATCACAAACGAATTTGGTTTTTGGTCTCGTACCTTCGATCCGCAGATGCCTCTGCATGTACGGCAGCTGACTGGGTGCGCAACTGGAAAAAGCGAACCCTTAAGAGTGGTGTGCTTGCGGCCACCTATACATTTGATGATCTCATCACGGAGCTGGAACTCTCGTTCAAGGACACGAACATCGCACAGGCGGCGCATCTGAAGTTGACGACTACTCGTCAAAATAAGATGTCGCTGACCGATTTCTTCCAGTCATTCGAACTGCTGGCAGAACAGGCAGGCTATAGTCCCAATGCCAAGCCTTGTGCATATGACGCGTTCCTGATCCAGCTTCTTGAGGAGTTAGTCAATACGGAGATTACTGGTCCTATCTATGTGGGAGGCACTGCCCTGCCCAAGACCTATCTGGAATGGAAAGAGCGTCTGATGCAGATCGACGCGAACTTGTCTCGGAACAGGCTGCGTTCGGGCCGCCGCGGACAGACGTTTGGATTCATTCCCCAGTTCCAACGTACTCCGCCCGCCGCCCCACGTGCCCCAGTACCACAAGCTGCTGTGCCTGCCAAAGACCCCGATGCCATGGACGTCGACCGGCGCTCGACAGAAGTGGAAACCTCTGCGCTGCTTCAACTGTGGCAAAATTGGCCACATTA